AGGTCTCGTTATCAATTTCACTCCAGTTCGATGACAGTATCATCGCTGCTTTGATCGTGCTTGACTTTTTTTTTTCCTGGAAGCTTAGGTTTTCTTTCAAGGTATGATGGTTCTCATTGTTTTCATCTTCACGTTTCTCCTTCTCTATTCTTCAGGCGTTTGATTGAATCCTGCAGCTTGCGAGGAGCATGCAAATTGATTTCGTTTGCGTTCCTTCAGGAATTAGGTTTACGTTCGACTCAATTTTGTTGGGTCCGTAGCTAAACTTGGCGATCGTTTTGCTTTTGCTTGGAGTGGGTTTCCCAGATTTCATAACTTTCTTAATCAAATTTGTCGTCTTTTCTATAGTCTTCTTTTCTGTACTGATTTGGGTACGATTTCAATTTCAATGACATAACTTTCCCACTGATCATGATTATGGAAAACAATGTCCTTTTTTCTGCTAATTTGCCATCACATTTTTGTTTATCTCCAGTCATTGGTTGAATATTGGATGAAATTTGTATTTTTGTTGATACCCAGATCATATTATTTGTATGACTTATGCAGAGAAGATCTCTCGAGTTTATCTGGACCATGGTTGCTGTAGATTCCTTTTTTCCTAGCCATGGCAGCTCTTCTTCTAGGAGGAGAAAGAAAGTCTCTACTTTGGAACCAAATCTTTTTGTTTCGACGTGTATGGGCGTCTACAGTTCTGATGTTTCTATCTCCGCACGGCAAGAAGCTCAAGATTACTCTTATGACAGGTGCGCCACTTGTAGTTATTGTTCTTTCATAGTTTTGGTTTCTTAAATTGGATGATCAATCTCAATAACTGTGATTTCGCTTGTCAGCTGTGGTGATTTGGCCACTGTTTCTTCCGCTTGTTACGATTTTGATGAACGGTGTGGTCTGGATTCAGCCTTGGAGATGAGCTGTAGGTCCAATGGAGACTGCAGTGAGGTTCAGGAGGCTTCTGGTAGTGGTACAGCTTCATGTATAGAAAAGAATCGTCCAGGATGTACCCTGTATGCAAGCGGTTGGATGTATGGTAATCAGGAAGGTCAGATGTGTGGCCCTTATACGCAACAGCAGCTGTATGATGGACTATCCACTGGTTTTTTACCCGATGATCTACTTGTATATCCAATTATCAATGGTTATATGCCAAATTCTGTACCACTAAAGTTCTTCAAGCAGTTTCCTGATCATGTCGCCACTGGCTTTGCATATCTACAAACTGGAATGATAAGTGTAGTCCATCCTGTTAGTAATAATTCCACAGTCCATGAACATGAGGCTCAAACAGAGCATACAACTTCTGCTACTCATTTGATTTCCCATCAGATATTGCCTCCACAGACCAATTCTAATGGTTCTGTCTCAGATCAGCTTGTGTTAAACCAGGAGGAAACAAATTTGTTAGCTTCATACCTCTCATTGGTAACTTCCTTTCACGGTGAAAACTCAATTTTACATGTTCATACATGATGGCTTGAGTTCACTTAAGAAAATTCTTTAATTGTTGCTGTTTCTGTCAGGGAAATGAACATGCTTGCTGGTTTCTTGTGGATAATGAGGGTAGAAATCATGGACCACATTCTGTATTGGAGCTCTATAATTGGCAGCAGTATGGATATGTCTCGGATGCAGCCCAGGTAAGCTGTAAAGAATTGTAGACTTTAAAGAATTCTGAAAGACTGTGAGTTGAATTTCATGAAATTATATCCTGATGTCTCGTAGCCTTGTGCCTAGCTTTGTTTTCTTCATGCATCTTCTTATGAGGGGGAAACTTATGTGAATTTTCTTCTTGCTTCATCCCTATTTCAGAAGGTTCCCTACACTTTCTTTCCAGTTTTGCATTTGCATCTCAGCTCTTTACTCACTATTTAAGAATACTTGGCGAACATATGTTTTCTCCCCTTTTTCTCATGTTTGCTGAAGAGTTTCGTTTTGCAGATACGCGATGGTGAAAACAAGCTTAGACCAATAACATTGGCATCACTAATTGATCTATGGAGGGTGAAATGTGGTGGTGCCAAGTTTGACGAGTCAGTCTCTGGGGTGAGCTTCATATCCGAAGTTTCTGAAGAACTTTCTTGTCAGCTTCAGAGTGGAATAATGAAAATAGCTAGAAGAGCTCTATTCGACGAGATCATCAGCAGTGTGATTTCAGACTTTCTTAAGGCCAAGAAAAGTGAGGAACATCTCAAGTCTGATCCACTCACTTCTGCCGCCCATGTTACTGAATCCATATCGGTAACTCTTTTTGTATTTACGCATTTATGTACTCATGCACACTTTGTATGCACATACATGGAAATTTAAGACTTCAGGGATTTCACTGAATTGTACACTAATTTAGTAACGTAATGTCTGAGCAGTCTCAAGCTACTAGCTCAGAGAAAAATGCTGTCTCAACCGCTGAAGCAACAGGCTGTAAGAACATGTTGAATGAGGGGGGTCATAGTCATACAGAGTCACTCAAATATACTAAATCTGTTGGAAGCACTGAGAACTTTCAGACATGTTGCTCAGCTGTACGTAGAATACTTTACAACCATTCAATGCAAATCATGTGGAATGCTGTCTTTTATGACACTGTGACAACTTATTCATCATCTTGGAGAAAGAAAAAACTTTGGTTTCGTTCTCCTGATATCTCAACTGTTGTTAGCTACTCCAAGGGTTCCCGGACCAATTATTCAGACAAACCTGAAGCAGTTGTGAGTGTGAGTTTGTTTAATTTTTTCTACAACAGTACAACTTCATTTAAATGAGTGCCATTTTTCTAATTAGCGTTGGTCATTAATGAAATGAATGTCATTTTTAATGTTTTGCAGGTCTCTTGTAGGATGAATTCCTCTTCCTGCAAAACTGCGTGCTTAGATGAACTTGACTTAGCTACCAATGCAGCCACTTTTCGTGAAGAGTCATCTAGAAAAGTAACCTTACCTAGGAATGATGGAATAGAAAGCATAATATCAAGCATCTCAGAACATATAGAAAGGGAACTCCTTTTATCTCTTGAAACTCACCTGACTGATTATACTGGCATTCTCATTGAAGATGGAGCAAATAATGATGCTACTACTGTCCGAGATGGCAAAATGCATGAGGTAAGGGCTAATAAAATCTACTTGTGTGGGCATGTTTGGAGTTTCCTAAGGAAATTATATCTTTGAATCTATTTTTTCTCGTTCCATCCTTGTTTGTGAAATGCTAGGTGTGGCTGATGAATTCAATTGTTGCGATATTTTTTACTGCTGCAGGAAAACCTGTCATCTTTTCATGGTTCCTTCCATGAGCAGTCTAATCTGGAATTAGCTGGTGAAAAGAAGAATGACTTAAATGTGGTTCCTGCTAGGTTGCGTTTTTCCAATGATTTCAGTGATTCTCAGACACTGTTGCAAGAGGGAGAATCCTCTGAGCAAATCACATCTGAGGATATTATTGCTAATATATTTCTTACAGCATTGGAGACGCCAGACAGTCCTGTTAATGATGAACTTGATACTCATGAGCCACCACCACCACCTGGATGTGAAAGCAACTTTAAAATGCCATCTCTGCGTTGTAAGTTTCAGCCTGTTAGGGCCAAGGAATCCATTCCTGAGATTGAAGATTATGTTGCAATGGCTTTATGTAGACAGAAGTTGCACAAGGATGTTATGAGAGATTGGAAGTCACTGTTCATGAAGAGTTTTCTTAACGAATTTCTTGCGTCATGGAAAGGAAGCCATCAGCTTTCTCATGCAGAAACGTTGGCCCCGAGGAAGCTCAAGACTTTGACTCGGAACAAAAAGCAAGTACAGTCTAGTATATCGAATCAGAAAGCAGATAAGCCGAGGAAACCATCTGTCAGATCTTCTGAAAAGATTGTGGCCAAACGATCTAAGAAATTGTTGACAGATTCTCATTCCTTGAAAGAATCTCATAATGTCGATATGCCCAGCATTGATTTCTCAGTTCAGAAACCAAGTCAACAGAAGATGAGGAATTCTGACTGGCGGGATCAGTGTATGTAATTTTCAACCTTTTTCATCCAATTAGAGTCTTGACCTTTACCTTAGA